CAGTGCCTATCACTCACAAGAGCTTGTGTAATACCACTGAAAAACACGGCTTTACCAGCCTTCATTTCTCTTATCTTATCATCATCATCTGATAACATGGATCAAGCCGGCTTCAAGCAGCAGCAGCGATCGCTTGACCCCGATCTCTTGACGATACATTGCATTCCCCCGTCGGGCGCCGTTTTCATCGAACCCAATAAAGACACATCGCTATGCTAGACACTAAAAAAGCAACGGTGTCGATTCTTTTCCATGGATGGCCATGTCTGGACATCCCTGGCCTTCTGGGCCAGAGTCGGCCAACGTTGACCTTTTTTTCTTGCCCATTCTCACAGTTGATATGGTCCATAATACTGGTTGAGGTAACTCTAAGCCTATTGTTTTGCTGTTTTCTGGATTTTGTGGACTCGAACTTTTTGGATTTTTGCCAACTCTGGCTGATTCCGGAAGGAATGGCCATCTTCGGCTTGGGTTTCTACCTGTCATTCTATTCCATTCTACCTGTCATTCTATTCCATCGTTTTGGGAGAGCTCTTAGGCAGATTTATTGGGAAGATTGTCTGTCATGGGCACAGTTTGGTTACAGTGTGTTCTATCTTGTTTTGCAATCGATTTCGATCGATAATCGATTACTCCCACAGTGGCGATATCCTTGACTTTGCCTACTATTCGTTTTCTGTTCCATCGTTATTTTTTTCATTTTTTCACTTCTGATGTCTGTTGCTTGATTTTTTGTATTTGTCCCTTCCGCTGCACGGTCTTATAAAGAAGTCCATAGAGCGTCTTAAGTGGAATTAATCCTATTACGGTAACTACATGTGCGAGTTTTCCCGTGTGCGCGAAAATTCCGCACATGACCTCAAGTGACCGTCGTGTCGACGGTGGTCATTACATCATATCGGGGGTCGCTATCGGTCTGACCCGAAGCCACCCGCCACCGTCACCCGTAGCACAGTTCTCCTCCTGTTGATCGCCCGTTACGTTGCGCACAGCGGGCTATCTGAAGCGATGATGAATTGATTCGGCCTTTGCACTATTAGGTCAATCGCTAAGTGGATAAAATTGGTGCCCATAAATAAGATGGGTATACGCCGTGCACTCCATCGATGCACTTGTTTTACATTCTTATTCACGGGTTGGTTCTGGTTTTGGACAGATTCCTGCGCTTAAGGAGGGAAAACCAATCGGGTCAACTATTTCGAGGGAGCATTGCATGCTTTGGGTAAGGCTAGGGGTCTCAGAATTGAACCATAATTCTTGTGCTCTTGCGGCCTTTTGCCATTGCTCAATAGCAGGGCCCCTTCTTGTTATCTATAGCAGGGGCCCCCTCTTGTTATTAGATCAGATGATCCCGCGAATGCTTACCTTCGCCAAGACCATTTTGAGTCTGCAAGGGCAACAATGGTTAAGGTACTCGTTACCAGGGCACGCTGAAGGTTGAGGATCTCCAGCGCGGGGGTTCGTATTTGGTTGCTGGAGGGAGGGGTCGTACTTGCCATGGAGACAAATCTTTTCCGTTGTTGACTTCTCTCAGTTTTTCGTTTTCGAAGCAAGTGCTTCATAAGCTCGCCTCTCCCCACCCAGCCCGACAACAGTTCTTGGGAACAAGTGGCGAGATTTTCGGAAAAATGTTAGGAAGTTGGAGAATCAAAGAAGGTGGATGTAGGATGGTTAGGGGAGTCGTGTAGAAAGTTTTAAGGGAGAGGGTGCACTATGCAAAATTTTTCGCCAACGAGTCGTCACTTTAAAAGGCGCTGTGCATCTGGTCCCCATCTAAAATGATCGAATTCTTTGTACATGTACATGGCCCCGTGTACAAAGTTCATCGGTGTTTACTCAGTGTTCAACTAACTGCTGTCCCCCCACCCCAACCGGTTCACTTTACTT